GAACCAGGATCCTGCCACTGCACTCCAGCCTGGGTGACAGAGTGAGATGCCGTCTCAAGAAAAATAAAAAACTGGGGAAGGATTGGCATAGAAAGCCATTAGCTGGGCTGTATCCTGCCCTCTCTTTGGTCCCAGCTTGTGTGATCATGGCTGGGCTTGCTGGCCAAGCCTGTCATTCCAGGTGACAAGAAGGCCTTTTCAGGGCAAGAGTGACCTGCAGCCACCCATGGTTGGCAAAGCTGAGCAGTTCCAGGTGCAGCTGGAGATAAAAATGGTGATGGGAGCAGCCCTGTCAGCTTTACAGGGAACCTCACATGGCAGGCGGGCAGCAAGCTGGCCTCTCCGCATCGCTGAGCCATCTGCTGAGTGACCAGACCCACGTAACAGGTAGGAGATGAGATCTCTTGTGCCCCGTCTCCTCCGTGAGCAGGCTAGGGTGTGGGACAAATGCCTCCTGATGGTCCTCATCACCCCAGCCTCTCAATATCAACATCCCATCTAAGGACAGACGCAGGCTCAGCGTGAGTCCCCAGAACCTCCCAAAACCTCCAACTGCCCCCACAAACCTTAAAATAGAAGATTTTGGGCTGTTTTTATTCTCACCCATGATACGAAACACATGTAACATTTCGACCTAAGATACACGGGGCATTTAAAACACACGCACACAGGCTGAGCAGGTGCTGGCCCTGTGCCAGAGCCAGGGTGCTGATGCCTGGGTGTGCCACTTATGTGTTCTGAAGGATTCCAAGATAAGGACAGGAGCCGGAGCTGGGGGCACTTGGAGCGGTGGCTGTTGACCACCTCATGTGGGTACTTGGGAGTCATAACAGCTGGCCCATTTCCACCTGTGTGTTCTGGATGACCTTCAGTGTTGCAGAAGCAAAAGCTTCAGAAGGTGAAATTTACTCAACAACCCATGATGTGTGGTTAATTCTTTTGTCATTGGTCCTATTTGATTTTCATTCTTTTTTTTTTTCTTTCTTTTTTGATACAGAGTCTCACAGTGTTGCTGGGACTGGATGCAATGGTGCAATCTTGGCACACCACAGCCTCTGTCTCCTGGGTTCAAGCAATTCTTCTGCCTCAGCCTCCCAAACAGCTAGGATTACAGGTGCCCACCACCACACCTGGTTATTATTATTATATTATTATTTTTGTATTTTTGTAGAGACTTGGTTTCAGTATGTTGGCCTGACTGGTCTCAAACTCCTGACCTCAGGAAATCTGCCGGTCTTGGCTTCCGAAAGTGCTGGGATTACAGGTATGAACCACTGCGCCCGGCCTCATTCTACTTTATTCTTGGGCCAAGCACAGTGTCCCATGCCTACAATCCCAGAACTGTGGGAAGCCAAGGCAGGAGGGTTGCCTGAGCCCAGGAGTTCAAGACCAGTCTGGACAATATAGTGACACACCTGTTTCTACCAAAACACACACACACACACACACACACACACACATTAGCAAAGGTGGTGGCACATGCCTGTAGTACCAGCTACTTGGAAGGCTGAGGTGGGAGGATCGATTGAGCCTGGGAGGTCAAGGCTGCAGTGAGCCATGGTCAGGCCTGTCCGTGGCCGGTTGTGCAGGGCACAGGTGTTGACTCTTCAAGGAGCCTCCAACCCGAAGACCCCTGGGGTATCCTGAGTCCCCTCTTTGCCTGGGGTTGGGGGTGTTGGTCCCTGGGGGCTGACACTTTCACCTGCCTACTCTCTGTCCCTGCAGCACTGCTGGAAAGGAAGGAGGAGGATGGACGGTGGGTGGCCACCCTGGGTGCTGAGCTCTTTGTGCCAGGGCTGGCGGGGCTGTGTGCCCTTGGCCTGCTGCAGCAGTGGGGCTGGCTCTGGACCAACTCCCTGAGGATCTGGTACAGCCTCCTGGGTAAGGCACCATATGCCTGGCTGAGGGGCAGGTGGAGGTGGCAGGGCCTGCCCTGTTTCCTGCGGCTGTGGCTCTGTGAGCTAAAATATGCTGTCACCACAGAATTTTCCATTAGTTCTTCTGTGGATTCTGAGTAGGACTGAGTACCTGCTCATTAAAAAAAAAAAAGATGTGTCTGTTGAGGGGACATTCATCCATCTCTTAACACCTCCCCATGGACAGGTTCTAATGGAGTGACAGGTGAAGGAGAGCACAGGGCCAGGGGGACATGGCTGAGGCCAGGCTGGGCTGGGCCCTCCTATTCTTGGAGCCCTGATGGAGGGCTGCCTGGCAGAGGAGGGCAGGGGTCTCTTGATAGATCCTCACAGCTCAGGCAAAGCAGCCAGTGCACTGTGCAGCACCAGCCAGAGGCTGCAGACAGAGAGCAGCTCAGACAGCCCCTACAGGCTGGAGCTGGGCCATGAGCTCCACTGCACACAGATCCCAGCCTTCAGCCACAAGGTGGGTGCCCAGGCCAGGGGGGACATCCAGAGAGAGCACCAGAGTCAGGCAAGTGGTGATCTGAGTACCCTGAGCTCATCCCCATAGAGATGAACTTGCTCCCAGTAGCATAGCCATATAGAAATGGATCCAGGGCTGGCACTTCAGCCTCAGTCTTATGTCTATTCATCCAGGGTTGCTTGAGGCCAGGAGGCAGAGGTTGCAATGAGCCAAGATGGTGCCACTGTACTCCAGCCTGGGCAACAAAGTGAGATCTTGTCTCTAAAATAAACAAATAATAAACAAAACAAAATGAAACAAGGCCAGGTGCAGTGGCTCACACTTGCAATCCCAGCACTTTGGGAGGCCAAGGCAGGCAGATCACGAGGTCAGGAGTTTGAGACCAGCCTGGCCAACATGGTGAAACTCTGTCTCTACTAAAAATACAAAAATTAGCCAGGCATAGTGGCAGGTGCCTGTAATCTCAGCTTCTCCAGAGGCTGAGGCAGGAGAATCGCTTGACCTGGAGGCGAGCTATTGGAATCACTGGGACGAGAGCAGCAACAAGAGGCATCTCTGTGTCAGCCAGACCTTCAAGAATGACTCAGGGCCCACCCTGAGCAATCAGTTCATGGAGGTGAGCCTGGCCACTGCAGCAGAGCTTTGCCCTGTGAGTCCAGCTTGGAAGGTGGGAGCTAGGGAACACTTCATGGCTCTCTGGGCCTGGCTGCAAGGATGAAGGCAGCTGAAACTCAGCCATGGTGACTTTCCCTTTTGCATCTCCAGCCCCACGTCCCCAGGGTTAAGAAACACTTGTCACAGTGCCAAGGACTGGAAGGAGGGTTTGGGAAACACAGATTTCCAAACATAAAAATGCATTTTGGAAACAGTGTTTCACTTTTAGTTTTTCAAGGCGGATGGGTTCTTTTGCTGAGTTAGTAATGATGGTGTGCTCGGCAGCTGAACAGGTTGTGGTTCTTCTACAGCACACATTTCACCTTGTACATTTTTTTGTCCCTTTTCACATCCAGTCCTGCAAATGGTGGTGTGTGTGTGTGCGTGTTCTTTGTTTTTTGAGATGGAGTCTCACTGTCACCAGGCTGGAGCACAGTGGCATGACCTTGGCTCACTGCAACCTGTGCCTCCTGTGTTCAAGCAATTCTCCTGCCTCAGCCTCCCATGAAGCTGGGACTACAGGCATGCGCCACAATGCCTGCCTAATTTTTGTATATTTAGTAGAGACTGGTTTCACCATGTTGGCCAGGATGGCCCTGATCTCTTGACCTCAGGATCCACCTGCCTCAGCCTCCCAAAATGCTGGGATTATAAGTTTGAGCCACCACGCCTGGCCCAACCTTCTTTTTTTCGTGGTCTGCTGTCTCATTCTTAGAAGGTCTCCCAAGCTAATATCCCTTATGCCTGCTGCGTAGGTTTCTTCAGTCTTCCACCTGCTTTCTTTTGAGTGTACAGCCTTGTTTCTGTGAAGGTCACTGCCACAGGGTCTCTTTCTCGTTCCACAATGAGCTCTCTGTGGGCGTGTGGTCATCAAACGCTCACAGTGGCTGCCCTGACTGCCCTCCTGGCAGGACTAGGAACTTGTGGCCTCTCCACCATCTGGGGCTAAGACCCTGCCCAGCGCCAGAGTGGGCGTCCCTCTGACTGGCTGTTGAATGTCACCTCCGCATCCTCTCTGCTGTGCCAGAGTCTCTTGGCCACCCACAGGGCAGTGAACTGGGAGGAGTGCTCCAGGACTCGGCACACTGTGCTGTTTGAGGCTGTGATTGACTACAGCCAGAGGAGGCAGGAGTGTTGGTGCAGGGAAGGGGGCCTGCATGGAGTCCAGCGGGAACCAGGGCCAGCACCCAGTGTCCTTTCCCAGTCCCAGCGCCTTCACATGGGATGCACTTGGCTGTCCCAGCACTATGTCTCCCAGGGTGTTTAGTGGGGGCTGCCACATTGGCAGGAGCTGCTTGGTGCAGACCACACTGTCAGACTCTTAGGAGGCAAGCAGGGGTCCAGCATAAACCACGTTTGTGCAAACAGTTCAGGTGCAGAAAGCCTTGGATCACTTCTAGGAGTGGTGGGAACCCTCCCCAAATCCAAGTTCCCAGACAACCTATGAGCAGGACTTGCAGAGGCGGCTCAAGTCTGCTGTGACAACTGGTCTGCAATCTCCAGTGCCCGTTGCTCTGTTCCTTGTCCCCCCCACCCACCATCTTATTCCCAGGAACAGGCCCTATCTCCTTGCGGCCTGGGCTGGGACTCTGAGCTGCCCAGAGGCCTCATGGTGGGTGGTGGCTGCCCATTGCACAGCCCCTGGCCACACTGAAGGATGCCTACCTGGAGGTGACCCTGTGGCCCCTCAAGGACGTGTGGTGAGAGGGGGCAGAGGAAGCCATGTGGCAGCTGCAGGACTGGGTGCCTGGGATGCAAGGCAACGGGTTTCCAGGCCCATCAGGGTGGCCCTGGGGGCTGTGAAAGGTGCCCTGGAACTGGTGAGTGAGAGCAAGGATGGGGCGTGGCTGGCACTTAATGACTGAGAAAGCTCTCACTGTCCCCTCCCTCTCCAGTTGGTCCACCAGATACTGTCCTGGGCTGAGGCCATGTTCTCATAGGCACTGAAGAGGCTCTGCAAACCCCTGCTGGACTTGTATGGCCTCGCAGCCAGGTAACGCAGGGTTGGGAGTGGCACGTCCGGCGTTCCTGCCACATATCAGGCGCAGTGCTGAAAGCTTTGACAAGCTCTGACTCACTGACTCCTCTGACCGCCCTGCACAGAGGCTTCTTCACTCCCCATTTCACAGATGAGGAAGCTGGGGTTTCCTCCTCACGCCATAGAGACCTCATGAGCACGGTCCCAGTGCAGGCAGGATTTTAGGAGCTGCAGAGGAGCGCAGTGGGCAAGGCTGACCCCTGCCTTCAGGAAGCTCAGTTTTACTCAGACACAGACACGCAGCACAAGAAGTCATCTACAGAAGGCTGTGTGCACAGCTTCCTGCAGAGAGCCTGAGAGTCACCTCTTAAGCAGACCATTCTGCTCTCACATTTCCTTGCTTTTGTTTTGTAATCATCTTTTTTTTTGAGATGGAGTCTCGATTTGTTGCCCAGGCTGGAGTGCAGTGGTGTGATCTCAGCTCATTGCAACCTCCGCCTCCTGAGTTCAAACGATTCTCCTGCCTCAGACTTCTGAGTAGCTGGGACTACAAGTGTGTGCACTACCGCACCTGGCTATTTTTTTGTCTTTTTTAGTGGAGACAGGGTTTTGCCACTCCAGGCTGGTCTCAAATTCCTGACCTTCGGTGATGCAACCCCCTTGGCCTTCCAAAGTGTTCGGATTACACGCACGAGGTACTACACCCGGCCTGTTTTGTAATCTTTTAAACACACAAAAGCCCTTATTTCTTGCAGGCTGTGCAGAAGCCAGCCACAGGCTGGGTGTGGCTCACTGCTCATCATTTACCACCACTGAGCCATACATTAGGTGGCAAATGCTAGAGAAGGAACATTGGTGAGACGGTGTGCGGGGGATCCTATGGTGTGGCCATGGCCTGCTTTGAGGAGAAGGCACAGTTCGAGAAACAGCCATGGGGCCGGTGTGGTAAGAGAGACCAGATGGGGGCACCACGGCACAGAGGCCTAGGAGAAGGATGTGCCTGGCCTGTTTGTTTTTGAGATGGAGTCTCGTTCTCTGTCACTCAGGCTGGAGTGCAGTGGTGTGATCTCAGCTCATTGCAAACTCTGCCGCCTGAGTTCAAGTGATTCTCCTGCCTCAGCCTCCCAAAGTAGCTGGGATTACAGGCATTTGCTACCATACCTGGCAATTTTGTATTTTTAGTAGAGATGCGGTTTCACTATATTAGCCAGGCTGGTCTCAGAATCCTGGGTTCCAGAGACTGGGTGTAGGGATTACAGGCATGGGCCACCATGCCTGGCCAGTTTGAATAGCAAGGTGGCGGGGCCGATGCAACTAGGAGGGACTGGGAGGTCCCAAGGCTGGGGGGTGGGGGCGAGGGCTCTGGCTTCTACTCTGACCTAGGAAGGACGTGATCACCCTTTCACTTCCAAAGGCCCCTTTTGTCCCTGTGTTAAGAACACAGGGTGGTGGATAGAAGTGGGGAACAAAGTCTAGAGCAGGGGTCTGGAGACCCAGTATCCTTTTCCCTCACAGGCATGAAGCCCACCAGGAACCGGGCTCTAGACAGGGAGGCAGCCCCCTTCTTCCATGCTGGTAGGCTTGCAGAGCATCTGGACTGTGGCTCTGCCTCTAACCGAGATTCCTCTGCGTCGGCTCTGTGTGCCCGTTTCCCCAGCTGTAGTGTAGGGACTAAGCCCACATCATGGGGAAAAGGCTCCAGATAATACAACTTCCTGCTCCAGCCGCCTTGCGGTCAGAATGTAGGCTGAGGAAGGCAAGAGCTCCCAGGGCAGGGCTTTGCTTGGCTGAAGAATCACCTGCCTGGTTATTCGCCTACCTGGTGAGTGGGATCTAGTGGGTGCCA